ATGTTTGGGATGTGTCTGCTGCTTCCTCCTGTGAGGCAGCATGTAGCCATCTCAGGGCACTTTGCTTTGCATCAGTGTTTGTCCCTTGTCATACATCCACAGATCACTTCCTGTTCAGAAGAAATTCAGGCAAGGGTGTGGACATGGACTTCAACATAACTGAAACTAACCAATCATAATAGCAAGTCACCATGAAATTTGGTTTTACCAGTAAATACAAGCAGAAATGACTTCCTGCCACTCCTTCATTCCCCAACTAGTAGATGAGAGGCACTTAATAAAATTTCTGCCCAAGTACATAAGGTTTATTAATTAGAGCAAGTTTTTTGTTCTTGTTTTCATTCGATTAGGAGATCTAGATAATGTGTGGCAAAGATCAAATATGAATTAATTTGCAGCAGTATACTTTTCTTAATCTACAATCTATGCTACATTTTGGGCATATAATTTTGTAATGCTTTGTTTTCTGTGATTACCCTTAATTCTTTATAACATGCTTTAATTCATGCTGTAGCAAGCAAGTTTCATATACCAGTTAGGCTTTGTGCCACTTAAAGTCACCTGGAACCAGGCCTTAACTCCCTGTAGATGTAAAGGTTTATTGTCACAAATATAGGAACAAGAAATGGAGAGAACTACTATCCTCTTATTTTATTAAATGTTACTTTCACGTGCGGTTATGAAGTGTTCTGCTTTTCACTGCTTTAGGAGATTGCTTCAGTTGGAATTTTTAAATTAAACTAACAGCTTAGCTAGTGTCTTTGCAATGTGTCCTTTTCCACCTGGAAGGGACAACTTGACAAAAGATGGATCTTTTCCAGTTTGAATCTGCATCTAAACAACATCCTCAGGTGACTCATTGTCACATTAAAGTTTGAGAAACTATAGTCTACATAACTGAAAGCCACAGCTCTGTAATTATTTTAATTTGTGATATTTTAGTCTTTTCTGTTCAGATCGAAACATGTTTTTATCCCTGAGAATAACCCATTGATTTTTAAGCCAATCTCACAGACTGTTAGAATCATGCATATTGTTTTAGTTATTTTTAAGTATCATTTTGTGCATGTTTTTATTTATTATTAATGGCTTTTTGTAACAGCTATATATATTTTAGCATATAGATTGATATTTTTTAAGAACAAGAAGGCCTCTGAATTTTAATTTTTTTCTAATTTTAGAAATTTATAATAATTCAGAATTTAGGTCTTTGAATTTAAATTAATTTTTTCTAGTTTAAAAAACTATTTCATGATATTAATCTCTCCTGTGAATCTGAGCTTTATAATTAGCAAATGACATTTTAGATAGGTGTGTTTAAAGGTTTTAGAAAGTACAATAAAAATAAGACCTTTACCTGCTAATCATTTTTATATTCTGAATTTGCTGTTGTGCTGTTGTTGGTTTTTTTTTTTTTTTCATTTCTGAAACTTCTGAGTTTAATTGGAAGTTGATATTAAGAGAAATTTGTTTTATTTCATTGTCTGTTTTCACAGAGGTCTTCAAATTTGGTAATAAGTAGCGAGGTTTAGGAATATGATGTTATTTCTAGGAATAAGAGTTAAGAATCCTGGTTTTGTTTAACTCATTCATTTATTGTGTGTCTTTTGGATTCTGCATTTTATTGCACAGAATCTGAGTTTTTCCATCTTTATGATGGGAATATAATATTTTTTAAAGCCAATTTTACAATACCATAATTTGTGGTAAAACCCAGTGCCTCATTTATATCAGCAGTAATCTCTGAGCCTTTTCAGGAAACTTTGGGTCATTCTTGCTTTGGATTTCATCTTATCTCTCCATGTCAAAATAACTTTTGCTCATTTTATATCAGCATTCTATTTTGAAAAACCTGTCTTTGGAGTATTAGAAATTAATAGTGCGGTTGCTTTTGGTTAGATGCAGTCATTTCCCTATCAAGTGCTGGTTTTGATTTGCCTAAAGTCTTGTGACCTACACCAAGGATTCTTAGCCCTTGCCTCCCTTTAGAATTATCTGGAGAGCCTAAAATAACCACAAAAGTAGGACCTAGGCCCTGCCCCTAAAACAATTAAATCAAACTCTCTAGAGGGGAGGCCTAAGGCACTCTTTTTAAAGAGCTTTCTGCTAATGTGTATCCAGAGTTGAAGACCACTAATGTTGAGTGTAATTTATCATTAATGGAAGCCTGGTATTGCACATTAGCAGCAAAGGACAAAAGAGTCACATAAAAATCCCTGGGAGATTTATGTCAGAATCTTCAAGTGATCAGCAGTTGATAAAAGAAGACTATTCCCTTCTGAAATAACCTGAAAAGAGCAAAGCATCATGTTCCTACTCTGCCACTAAAAGGTCTCAATCTCTTAATCCTCCATTGTTAAAATATACAATCTCATCCTCAGCCTTTATTTCCAAAAACATGTTCTGAAAACAGGTGTGTGGTTTTTATTTTCATTTTCATTTTCATTTTCATTTTCTATATAGAGAAAGTGCACACAAGTCGGGTAGAGGGGCAGAGGTAGAGAGAGAGAAAATCTCAAATATGTTCCACACTCGGCAAGGAGCCTGATGTGGGGCTTGATTCCATGACTCTGGGATCATGACCTGAGCCAAAATCAAGAGTTGGACACTCAACTGACTGAGCCACTCCAGGGCTCCAGTGTGTGTGTGTGTGTTGTGTGTGTAACTTAAGTGTCCAGTAAACCTTACCTGGTATAAAACTATTTGTACTTCTTTCCTTAGGTTTTCCCCTTATCACCTTACATTTAGAGTGTCATTTCTTGACCCTTGAAGATCTTATTTCAGATAACTCCAGATAAAAGCTTAGTATTTTTTTTTTTTTTAATGTAAATTTTAGTTAGCTAACATACAGTGCAATCTTGGGGTCAGGACCTGAGTTTGAACACAGTTAGGAGAGTACTGCTCTTCCACTTAAACTGAATGGCATTGCCAAGCCACTTAATCTATTTGACTCTCAGTATTTGTGGGCAAAATGGGAATGACTTCTCCAGGTTGTTGGAAAACTACATGAGAACCTGTGTAATATTTGAGTATCAGGGACCTAATCAGCATTTAACAAAAGTGAATGGTTATTTTATTATTTCTAATAAACAAAATCTTGGTCTTTCTTTCCTTTTCCTGTCACAAACATTTATCGGGTGCTCACTGTGTCACCAACATTGTAAGTGCCAGAAAAACAACCATGAATAAGGGAGACATTATTTGTGTCCTTTGTGAGCTTCCTTGACTCCCTCATTAGAGACATCCTAAACTAAAACCTGCTAATTGGGTGACTTCTCAGATAGACACACATACAATGATAGGATTATTGCCCTACTGATGAATAACCCCTCTAGTTTATAATTTTTTCCTGAAAAAGAACTTTCTTCCCACTACCTCATAAATTCCATCCTTCTTGCTCATTCCCCAGCCTACCCTCAAATATGATTTCGGACGTATAATATTTTGGGAAAACCATCACTGCTATAGAAGTATCTATTTTGTCATCTCCCTTTACTGTAGGCTTTCCCTGGACCCTTTCTTGTTTTATGTTGTATTAAAACATCCTACGGATACCAGCTCATTCTTTCTCAAATTCCTGACCTAGCTTACATACATATACAGTAACAGTTGTATGGTTCTGAAACTATATTATGTCTTCAAATAATGTAAAAAGCTTTACCAGGTCATTTTAATCCTTACATAAGGCTCTCAAAGCAATAAAAACTCAGGAATATTAGAATTTCATTTTTATGGGCAGTATACATTATAATTGAATTACCTTTTGAAACCAAAGTACCTATTCCATACATACATACACACACACATTATCTTTCCAATTAGAAATAGTATATAGAACTGACTATTCAAGTTCTGCCTATTTTGTTTATTTAGCTTAAAATTTTTTTACTAAAGGCCAGAGAATCCATCTTAGAACTTGGCTTTTTAATTTTAAATTTAGCTATCTCTTTGGAAGAAAAACTGAATAAAGTGTCAAAGCTAGTTTTCACATCTATAAATTAAATTTTCCTTAAAATATGTTTAGAATGTAGGGAGAACAGGCATTCTTCCCCTTTGTGCCTGAAAATTTGACTGAGTATAATGGTGCAGGGTGTGTAATTATATACTGAAAACCCCTTCATATTACATTTTTTAAAACATCAGGAAGATAATCAGGCTGTCATCAATGTTCTCTTTTCTCCCTTTCCTTTATTTTGCTTCTAGTGGTCCCTATTAGACTTTATTAAACACATTGTCTGTTCTTAGGGTCAACTCAGTATTTTATCAAACCAAATACTGCTTTCATAACTCAGAGGTCTCTATTGCCTCTTTAGAGTCACTTCAAGTAAAGCTTAGTGCCATTTTCTTTTTGTTACTAGATTTTTTACTTGTGTGACCTATTGAAAATAGCGGTGGTATAACGACATCTTAGACACTCTTAATTTTCTGGTTTTTAGTGGTTCTGTCAGGATTCACAAGTATTATCAGGTAAATAAATATGAGAGTGTGCCAGTTTACTTATGAAAGCTACTTAGGAGTAGATGTTCGTAACTTGAGGACAAACTCCATAAAATAAAAGCCACTATTTTAGATGTATGCTTGATAGTACCTATCAGTATACCTTTGCTGTCTTACGGATTTCCCCCTTTCTTTATAATCAATTCAGTGAAGTCCTTTGGCCCCTTGGCCATTGAGTTAAGGTAGCTTTTTTAAAAAATAAACTCTAAATATGTTTATAAAACTATTTGTATGTATATCATATAACAGATATTAGCCACAGTTTACAGGGTATTTTTTTATTGGAGAGAAATCCCTAATATAGCCTTAATAGATTATACCTAATTACATAACAAATATGCTCTTCCAAAAGTGTGATTTTTTTGAGAGCAAGATATCTTTGTATTTTTGTTAACCATAAGAGTACAATTGTTTATAGCTTATGTTGTTGGTTGAATGAATCAACTGAACCATGCCTGTAGGAATGAATAGCTACTAATGCCATTTATCATTTCTCTTTATAGGTATTACCATTTAATGAAACCTTCTTGCCAGCAAATCTATGATAAAAAATATAAGTAACAGAGGAAACAATAACTGTTATTTGTCAAGTGGCAAGCTTTTAATGTCAGAATGGCTCACCTAAAGCGACTAGTAAAATTACATCTTAAAAGACATTATCATAAAAGGTTCTGGAAGCTTGGTGCAGTAATTTTTGTCTTTATAATATTTTTGATTTTAATGCAAAGAGAAGTAAGTGTTCAATATTCCAAAGAGGAATCAAGGATGGAAAGAAATATAAAAAACAAAAACAAGATGTTTGATTTCATGCTAGAAGCTGTAAACAATATTAAAGATGCAATGCCAAAAATGCAAATAGGAGCACCTGTCAGGCAAAACATTGATGCTGGTGAGAGACCCTGTTTGCAAGGATATTATACAGCAGCAGAATTGAAACCTGTTCTTGACCGCCCACCTCAGGATTCTAATGCACCTGGTGCTTCTGGTAAAGCATTCAAGACAACCAATTTAAGTATTGAAGAACAGAAGGAAAAAGAACGTGGAGAAGCAAAACACTGTTTTAATGCTTTTGCAAGTGACAGGATTTCTTTACACCGAGATCTTGGACCAGACACTCGACCTCCTGAGTATGTTGAAGAATATTCATTGTTTACTGTTTAACATTAGAGTTTGCAGGGGAGGGGAATTAGCTAAGGGATTTGCTTGTTCTTTAGTCACTCTCTGAGGCAAAATATCAACAATTGCTGTTTAATTTAATTATGTTTGCTTATTATTATTGAGGCTATCCATTTCTATGTTTGGGGAGGCATTGCCGACGTGGAAAGTTGTTACCTTACAAATTAGGAAACTAAATTTTAGATCTGATTTCTGTAGAACCACAAAGAAATTCTTTATTCTTCAAATGCTTTTGTTTTCTAATCTATTAAGAAGGGAATATTGGGCACTTTTTATGGGAGATGTGGGAGGCAGAGGATCTGTTTCTATTCCTCTGTGTATTGCTGTAGAATAGAAATGTATAAAAAGTGCCAAGATTTTGGAGCTGTTAGATAAAAATTTTCTATGAACTAAGTCAGAGACTTTGTGGCTATTTTCAGTGCTGTAATTATATTTCGGAATGCCTTGTAGCCTTTTGTAACCTTTCTTTTAAGGAACAATATTGTTAAATTGCTAATTCTATTATGATTTTTTTCTCTAGAGTTTTGTTGAATAAGTTATCATATGTATAGAATTGTCTCTCTTTAGCTTCTGAGAGGCCAACATTGCTTTTTATGTCACTTTGTTTACATGTTATCTCAAGTACATAGTATTTTTATTCTGGTTCCCCTCCGGATACTAATATGCTCTGTCCATTGTTATCTTTGAGGTAGTGTTCAAATGCTTTATTTGAATTCAAATAACTAAAATAAATTCTAACACTTCTCAAGCCATTTGTTGATAGGTTGAAAGTATAAGATGGAGTATGGCTCATGGGGTGCCTGGGTGGCTCAGTCGGTTAAACATCCGATTTCTGCTCAGGTCGTGATCTCACGGTTCGTTCGTGGGTTTGAGCCCCGCATTGGGCTCTGTGCTGACAGCTAGTTCAAAGCCTGAAACCTGTCTTCAGATTCTCTGTTTCCCTCTCTCTGACCCTGCTCACGCTGTCTCTCTCTCTCTCTCAAAAATCAATCTAAAAAAGTTTTTAAAAAGCTTTAAAAAATAAAAAGATAGACAAACTATAAGCAAGCAGTGCCTACATATTTTGCTTTCTGGTTATAATAGAATTACATTTGGAAAAGGAACCTAAAGAAAAAAAACTTTGATAGGCTTAGGTCTATGGTTTTACTCATATTTTTCTAGATGTGTGATCATGAATACTTGTTCTAACTATGAGTCCCTTAATATTGAAGTTGGGGAGATTAGAATTCTGTCTCTCTATTGTAATCTGTGTGACTCAAGGTTAAGGTGCTAATCATTTTTAAATGAATGTGTGAAGAAACAAATGAATATCTATAAATTGTTCTACCTTTCTAACAAGACACAGAATCATTCCTTTCTTATGTTAATAGTTAAAATGCAGTGTTGCATTTGACTGATTTGGGGAGAGGTCTTGACTGAAAAGCAATCCACATCACAAATCAAGAAGCATAATTTTTATTCTTTGACATGTCAGTCAATGTCAGCTCAAGTTTGTCCCCCAATATAGCATTGAGGAGTTACAATAATATTCAATAATGAAATCATTGTAAGTGAAAAACAACTAACTACTTAACCTTTTTTGGATAAGAATTGGATACCTAGAACTGTGAAGAATTGGTGAGGATATAACACTTTCTTACTTTAAAGTTAACGTTTATCAGCAAGGAACACATTTTCTAAAGAACTGCTGTTCATTTCCATGCTCACTGAAAATATAGACCCTGTGTCTCCCAAAGTCAAAGATCATGTGATTGATAATTTAAGCACATGTCTATATACCAAATTTTACAAATGGTTTGACTGAGTGTAAGCAGTTTGGCAAGTTATTTAATTTAACTACTTTAAATGACATGTGAAACAATATCTAAAACCTAAGTTTACCATGTTTTTTTAAACTGTTTCAGAATAAATGGGGTTTATGAAATCATACTGCGAAATTTTATTACTTGCTTTCAAGCTATAACATGACACCTTTACTTGTTGTTAGTAGTTATCAGTTAAACAAATAAATCCTAGCTTAAACTAAGGGAAAGCCTTGCAAGATTAAAGTGATCACATTTTCTTAATGTGAATTTTTGTGAAGTTTTATATTTAAAATCTCAAAACGTTTTTCGTAATTCTTGATTAACATTAATTAGCCACATGACAGATAAATATAGGTGAGGTTTTCTTTTTTTTAATCCCTCTGACAAATGCTTCGAAGACAATAAATCATAAGGTTTTTGTTTTTAAAAGAAAAATAGCATGGAGTTTTAAAATAATTTTTATTTTTAGTTTATGTTGGTTTGTAAACCTTAATGTCTTAAAAATACAAGCTTATATTTAGTCATTCATTACTGTGTAGTTGTGAGTCAAGAGTAATTGTGAATAGGTAGTTTGTGTTTGGACCTTATTTCTAATTACTAGTTTATCCAAAATTCACTTTAAAATAAATCATTTGCTCTCATCTGTCAGTGAGGATGAATGTGATTATTTGCTTCTGACTATGCATATGTATTTGAAGTCATGAAGGCATGAGAGAGCAAACATCACTTTCACTCTTAACTTTCCCTTTCTTTTCTTATTTAGCAGTGTTGGCACACTCTGTTAATACTTTATCCTCAACCTAAATCCTTGTTTATCACTACTAATATTCCACCCTAAAGATGTCCTCTCAGAATAGTATCTGAAACTATGTATGGCTATAAATGGAATAATTAGAACTTACAGGATATCTTTCTTTCGGTGACTTTCCCAGGCCTTAGGATCATACTGGCGGCTCTGTTTCCCTCACAGAGCATTTGAAGTGTCTTAGGCTCTTGTCTTCATAAGTGAATGATTTACTTCCTGTCTTTGGGTTTGAATAGCACTGCCTGATTGTTCACATGCTGTATTTATAGTGCCTTTTGAGTGAGAGGATTTTATATTCTGTTGTCTAAAATTGTATAACCATTTATGATTTTTAAGTGAACTTAAAGATTATTTGTCTTTACCATAGGTCACCCATATTTTATGTCCAAGGGTCACTCTGGTTTTATAGTGTTTTGAAGCCTTCTGTTCTTTTACATCTTTTGATCCTCACCTCAACTTAGCTTTAGTCAGCTTCAGTCTCAAAAGACTGGAGACTATACGGATCCACTCATACCCAGAAGCTTCTTATGAAGATTATTTTCAATGAGGAAGATATTATTATAAAAATGAACCCAAGATAAATTTGTAACTAATGTGTTTAGCTAATGGTTAGTACCATTATTCAGCCAAAAACTACTTAGAGTCTATTTCCTTGTGCCTATCAATGTTTCATATGACAGAAAGATTACATGACTTTTAACACAGATTTAGGATTTTATTTAAAATTTTTAAGTTTAGTATTTTAAAATGCCAGGTCTTATTTAATTAAACTATAGATCAGATTACTGGAGCAAAATCTTTAACACACCATGGAATATGGCATATGGTAGCAACTTAATAAGTCTTGCTGACTCATGAAGATCATAAAAAAATAGATTTTTATAGTAAGCCATTTCCCCACTTTTGGTTCAAGTAGAGATTAAGTAAATTGATTTAAAAACTTGAAAAATATTACATACTTAGGAAAGTAAGAATCTCTACAAAGATGAGTATTCATTTAATAAAGTTGCACTATGTAAAGCTTATTTTTGAGAGATAGAGTGTATGTGCATGCGCATCAACAGAGAGTGGCAGAGAGAGAGAGAGAGAATGAGAATCCCAAGCTGGTTCCATGCTATCTGCTTGGGGCCTGATGCGGGGCTTGATCCTACAAACCATGAGATCATGAGCTGAAACCAAGAGTTGGACACTTAACTGACTGAGACACCAAGGTGCCCCTGAAGTTGCACTGTTAAAAACAAATTGGAGGTATATGGGGGGGGGGGAGGGAAAGGGGGTGATGGGCATGGAGGAGGACACTTGTGGGGATGAGCACTGGGTGTTATATGGAAACCAACTTGACAATAAACTATTAAAAAAGGGGGAAAAATTGGCGGTAATAAGAAAAATGGATGATTTCTCCAAGGGGAAGAGAAAAATTGGTTTTTATTTGAATGATTACAAGTATTTGCCATTGTTATAGGTTATCTCACTTGTAGGTTATTTTTCCTGTTTAAAGTGCTATTTGTATTTAAAGTTATATTGTTGAGAAAACTTATAATAGCATGTTTGAATCCTTGACATGGAATCTGTATCAGTGGACATGATCTCTGTGTTTAAAAATTTTGTTTTGATCTATTTGCATTTGCATAGCATTAAGATCAACGTAGAAAAAAATTGTCTGCTATTGTTTCTATGGTGATAATGGCTAAATAATAATTTTAGTAATGACATAGTTCTGAAATAAAGTAATAAAATTCATAATTGTTCTACTTCTTTGACTTCTTCTAGATGTATTGAACAAAAATTTAAGCGCTGCCCTCCCCTACCTACCACCAGTGTCATAATAGTTTTTCATAATGAAGCCTGGTCCACGCTGCTTAGAACTGTCTACAGTGTGCTTTATTCTTCCCCCGCCATACTGCTGAAGGAAATCATTTTGGTGGATGATGCTAGTGTAGATGGTAAGAAAGCACATGCAAATTAGGTTGTTGTTTTCCAAGTAAATCCATGTGATGTTGATGTTGTCCAAAGTCTATTTGATTATATTGGTCTCTCTATATGCCACCTCAGACAGAGCTTGAATATAATTCCTTGTATGATGGGTATGATGAATGAAAGTAGAATCCAAGGGTGTCCATACTTAAATATTTTAAAGATCAGAAATGTACAAAGTACCATGACTTCTAACTTTGTAGACCTCAGTGTAAGACTATTATTGTAAGGCATAGTGGTTAAGAACACAAACTTGAACCTTGGGTCAGGCTGCCTTGGTTTGAATCCCAGTTCTGGTCCTATCCAGCTCTGTAACTTGGGCAAATTACTTAACTTTATGCCTCAGTTTCTTTATCTGTAAAATGGGGAAAATGTCATATTTCCTCAAACGTATTGCACAATACATCATTAGTTTATATGCCACTGGAATAAAAAACCCTCATAGCCAATTACACTAAGATGGCCTTGGTTATAAGTATCTCATGGTGCAGCTTAGAATTGAGAAAATATATAAATAATACATAACTCCTAAGATTGTTTTGAAGATTAGATGAATTAATATAAAGAACACATGAATTAATAATATAAATGGGTAGTTAAAAATCATTGAGTCACTACATCCTGTTTTATGGCTGCTAATAAATTGCTAATAAATAAATTGCTAATAAATTGGCTGCTAATTATTCCGATATTGTTTACAAAGTTAGCTGAATTCTTTAATGCATTTCTACTCAAAATTACAAATCAATTATCAGTTACTAAATTATACATTTTAAATTGGAATCACAAGGCTAATCAGACAAATACCCTAATTTGCTAAATTTTTCAAACATTACAAGTTTTTAAATACCAAACAGATCTAGATTATTTCAATAATCACAAGATTTATTCCTGAATGAGTTGAGTTTGGAGCCTGATTCCTTAAGGTCAAATTCTCACTCCAATACTAACTAGCTGTTTACTCATCTGTAAAATGGGGATAGTAAAACCCTTTCATCTAACCCAAAGAAACATCTATTTTAAGGTAAACCATTACTTTATGTACCATGAAAAAAGAAAAATACTGCAATAATTATTAAGTGACATGTCATCAATAACAAGATGTATCCAGACTTAAGAAATGATAATAAGTGAATAAAGCATAAAGTTACTAACCTGGTTTATTTAATTATTTCTACATACAATCCTAAATATTTCTATGATTTCAAAATAAAATATCATGAGTGAATTGAGATTGTTTTCGAGTTAAATTAACATCTAGGTGGAATAAGGTTGCTTATCACCAGAGATGTTTGACATGGTTGTGAAATGTATTCACCAATTGAGGAAGTTTTAGAATTCAAGTTCCCTGCATACAGGTGCACAGTACATAATGGATCTCAGATTTGTATCTTCAGTCCTTTTACTCCAATTATATCATCACTTAATTGTAACCAGCTGATTTATTTACTGCTTGAAACGTTAGTTGTTTTTGTTTTTTTTTTTGTCAATTCTTTCTACTTGGTCTGCAGTCCATAGAGGATTTTTTTTCATGTTTATTTATTTTGAGAGAGAGAGCCCAAGCAGGGCTGCCCCTCGGCAGACAGAAAGAGAAAAAGAATCCCAAGCAAGCTCTGCACTGACAGTGCAGAGCCCGATGAGAGCTCAGTCTCATGAACCATGAGATCATGAACTGATGGAGCTCAAGAGTGGGACACTTAACTGACTGAGCCACCGAGGCACCCCTGCAGCCCATAGAGTTTTAAGTGACATTTGATTAAATTCTGCATGCCCCTCATATGTTATATTGTAAAAAGAAAAGAAAAAAAATTCCCTCTTTGGTTTTTGAGCTTTCTTCTCAAATGGTTTTTATTTGTTTGATTTTTCAAGCAGTGACAAATTAGGGTCACAGTAAGACTACTTGTAATAAGCCTTCAGTTGAAGATAACTTCTATTATTGCTGAAATAAAATTAATAGAATTAAAGGAAATCAGAAAGAAAAGTGATATCCAATCATAATCTTCCTATTTAATTTTAATTTTGCCTTTTCTCTCTTGATCACTGCCTAAATAAACACAGAATGTTTACCTAGTTATATCCATGTCAGAAATCCAATTTTAAAATCTGACATGTTCCTATATTATTTTTATTAGCCCATTTCTTTTACCTTCAAAACTTTATTTTTAATGAGTGACCGTGATGGACTAGATGCATTTTACTTATTTACCATTTACCTTCACTTACCCCACCTGTTAGTATATATTACACTGTAATGAATATCCTTTCTTTTGAATTATATCTTTGGTAAGTTAGACTGCTTGGTCAAAGGGTCTGAATATTTTAATTTTTTCTAGCATTGGCATTGAATTTGCAACAGTTTTCTTGGTGAGGGATATTTTTGCTTACTAATGTAATTGTCATATTGAATCAAAGATTTAATGAGTACCCACTATAGAAAATGTGTCCCTATATGTTGTAAAGGGACTTGTGTTATAGAAACTCTAGTCCCTGGATTCAATTGGTTTAGGGAAGAGCAGCATAAATATGCAGATAATCAAGTGACAAAGAGATAGTTAAGTCCCAATGATAGCAAAACAAAAGAGAGTGAACGTTTTCAGAACATGGGCCATGTGGTAAGCCTTGTCTTAAATGCACAGCTAAGTGCTATTATCCCCTTCTTATAGAGAAACAGAGGTCCAAGTAAAATAAAATAACTTACCTAAAGTCACTCAGCTAAAAGTAGTAGTACTATAAATACATAAACCCAGGAGATCTGATTTCACAGCTCTGTGCTCTTAACCTTGCAAAAATACAGGTGTGAATGGGGCTTGCATTTAGGGGACAGATAAGAATTTATAGGAAGTTCAGAAGTTGTGGGTCAGTAAAAATTCCTTAATGACTCAAACAATGGGACAATTTATTGAAAGATTCTTTAGTGACTCCATTAAAAAAAATTCAATCCCCATTAAAGCCTTTGAAATGTTTTTATACAACTTTCTATTTTATAAGTCTACGGTTAAGGCAGAAATATCCATCATTTATATTTTAAGACAAGTTACAATCCTGCTTGTCTTTCAGAGAATTAATTCTGAGGTACTTAAAAGTTATGAAAAAGTTAGCCTATTATTCTGAAGAAACAATGTTTAGATTTATTTTCCACAGAAGTTGTTCCTGGACTCTCACTTCCTTTATGAATGTTTAAGTTTGAATAAGCAATTCTTTTATCTGTACCACTGGAAAACTGAAAAAATATATATGTAATCATAGATAAAGTCATCTGTGTTTGTGTCTGTATAAAGGCAGAAGCAAACATCTACCCTAGGACATTTACTGATATTCTCAGCATTCCCAGGTCTTTTTAGGCTGTGCTATAGGCCCAAAAAGGCCACCTGAGGAAACACATTGTATACTCAAAAAAGAACCAAGAATTTATTGGTGGAAAAAAGCAGACCTAAGAAGTTGTTTCAAAATACGAACAACACTTGACTGACATGATTAATGTGTTTTCTTTTACCTACTGTTTTAACTATTGCTTATTATGTCTCATCCAAATTGGAATGTTGAATATCTTAAATTATATACCCATTAATAAGATTTAGCCTGTTTTTAGCTTCATTCCTAACTTACATGCTCCTCCTTTCTTCTTTCATATTTTTACTGGAAAAAATTCTGTGTCAGAAGACTCCAAAGCTGTCAGAAATTTTATGCTGATTCTTTGTAAAAATATCCCTAAACTGCTGTAGCCTTGGGCTTTTCTATTTGCCATTTCCCTCAACATTTTGGTTTTAAATTATTTTGATCACTGCCTAAGTATCAGAGAATCCTTTTGATACTTGGCATTTGTCTTTAAATTTCCAGACTTAAATTCCAATTTTAAAGTGTGTCAAATATCTTTTTGGCCAAATTCAGTTTCCTTCACTCCCTTAGCTAGTTTTCTGAGACCCCTGAATGAGACTTCTTAACTCTTGGGTCTACTCCATTTGAAGTCTCTCCACGCCCTACCCCCCACCGGCACATATATTTATGATATTGTGTGTACAGGATAAATCCGTGTTGCCACATTACAGGTTATAGTTGTTCAGAAGTTAAGATTTGTGTATATAGCTATTTTTCTTTAAAAAGTTAAAGATACAATTTCATCTTAATGAAAGAATGTGTGCAACTGAGAAGATGACAAATGTAGAGATATCATTGCCCTGTGGTTTCGTTATTTGCTTTCATATGTTCATATATGAAAATAAACTTAGGAAGAGTTAATCCTGATATTTCTTTCTTACAGAATACTTACATGATAAACTAGAAGAATATATAAAACAATTTTCTATAGTAAAAATAGTCAGACAAAGAGAGAGAAAAGGTCTGATCACTGCAAGGTTGCTCGGAGCAACAGTTGCAACAGCTGAAACCCTCACATTTTTAGATGCTCACTGTAAGTATATATGTATAGACATAGTTGTAACATTTCCCCCTCTACTTCCCTCTAACTTAAAAAGTGAAGAAAGCTTTTCTTTAATAACTAATTATGTTTTCTTTAGCATCATTTTCAGCTGGTGCTTTATAGCAATGACAGCCCAAGCAGGTTATAGCTCTGGATAGGTGCCTCCTTTCACTTACATGGAGTTCTTACCTCCTTTATGTTTTATGCTCCTTCACTTCAATATCTTTCCTTCAGTGACCAGCTTTCCCAGTGAGTTATCCTTGCTTTGGGTTTTTTTCAGATGCTCATTGTGTCTAAAAAAAAGTGTTTTTCCTTATTATTGTTGATTCTTACAGTTTAAAATGAATGACAGTTTTAAGTGTAAGCAATTTTATCTTTAAACTTTGTCCTGGTAATGATACTTTAATTTCTATATTTCCATTCTTTCTTCAAAGATTTGCACGCTCCTCTTGTGCTAAGTTAGAGGTGTCCCCTTCCAACTTCTTCTGGTGGCTTTTCTATGAAAAGTATCAATTTTTGTCTGTTTTAATTTCTACTGTTTTTCCCCCTTTATTTTTAATGGTTTTGCTGTCTAGTGTCGATGATTTAAAAGAATTTAGGAAGTATTTTTAGAGTCAATTTTAGTGGGCATGTTAGGGATTACTAAAATGTCCCTTAGTCTTTCAGCTGTAAATTTAGTGAGTTATAGTCTTTGTATGACTGTTTAGTTTTGAATTGAACTAGCCGTTAGATTATATTTGACCTGGAGATTTTGGTCATATGCTAATTGTTACAGAAGGGTTTTGGATTTGTTTGAGTCTCTTTAGAGCTTTCATATCCAGTACTCCCTTAATACCTGGCTCTCAAATGAAGAGAGGTCTATAGGTAATCCAAAGGAAGTGTTTTGAAAAGAAAATGTTTCATTCTCCAATATTTCCTCTCCTGGTCCAAAATTACAATTAGGTCAGACTGAACATTCTTCCTCTGATGCAAATGTATTTGATGATCCTCCTTGATGCCAAATGGTCCTCCTAATAACTGCCAAACTCTGCCTGATGGGGAGACCTGGGTAGGACTGAGTCTCCTGAACTCTGTGTTAAGTGAACTTGGTCCCCAGCCAGGACCCAGGGTTTGTATGGAATTCCTTTGCCCCCACTTTCCATTAGGGCTGGGGCAGGTTTGAATGGTCCTCCTCCAACTGCTGACCTCAGAATATTCTGATGCCTTGATTTATTTTCTCCTAAGACTCAGAGAATGAAGATTTTGTTACTATACCTTACTGAGAGAGACAAGTTTATATAAATCAGAACATTTTTGGGGTTAGGTGGCATAGGTTAGCAAAAACTTACCTTTGATCCAGGACACATTTTAGAGGGAAACACATCATCTGAAACTTTAAATACTCCAGTATCATTTTATTTCCTAACATTAAAAAAAAAACCAAAAACTTCCTCTGTAGATAACATTTCCTAACTATGCTGAATCATGCCTTACCTTTTTCATCCAACCCTCATCTCATCACCCGAAACCTTTAAGAAATCTCCCCTATGTAAATGTTCAAAGCACAAATGACTGTTATTCTCATTTCTCTAAATCATCTTCAAAGAACAAAAGAGAAAACCCTCTGTTTTCACTGGATTAATTAGAATTGTGTTCCCTTCCAGGTGAGTGTTTCTACGGTTGGTTAGAACCTTTGTTGGCCAGAATAGCTGAGAATTATACTGCCGTGGTGAGTCCAGATATTGCATCCATAGATCTGAACACGTTTGAATTCAACAAACCCTCTCCTTATGGAAGCAATCACAACCGTGGAAACTTTGACTGGAGCCTTTCCTTTGGCTGGGAATCACTTCCTGATCATGAGAAGCAAAGAAGGAAAGATGAAACCTACCCAATTAAGTAAGATGATTGCTCCCAAAGTCTTATATGCAGTTCAGTTACTTGAATATGTATTCACTCTTTGCTTCTTACAGTTTTTGCCTCCAAGGTAATAATTCACACTAACGAAATAAAGAAACACACACATCCTATGTTGGGAATAGAGAAGCCATTTATGTATATACTTACTTACACATGATGTTACCAAATAGGAAATAGAATTAAGTGAGGCTTTTTGCCTTCCTCATAATCATTACTAAAGAATCTTTAGGCTTGGTTAGAAGACACTTAATAATTTTGTTCCTCTGGGAAAATATATTTAAAGTACTTCCCTCCCCCTCATAAAACTTGACTCTGAAGGTAGCATTTTTAGTTTTTATTAATCTATATAAAATTTTTAAAATTTCTGATCTAATTTCTGATTTGATTTAGTCACTCTTTAAATAACTTTTTTCCTTATTTGATTTTTATAACAAAATTTGACAATGAATTATTTTTCAGAACACCCACTTTTGCAGGAGGCCTTTTTTCCATATCAAAAGAATATTTTGAATATATTGGAACTTATGATGAAGAAATGGAAATCTGGGGAGGTGAAAATATAGAAATGTCTTTCAGAGTAAGTTTATAAATATAACGCATATTAGATAATACACATTTTGTTCTAATTGGCTGATACAGATTATCATAGATGTGTGCAGTCTTTTTGTGCTTTCTAAAATTCAACTGCTAGAAATTTTAGAATAAGAGTATTTCCTTTTAAAATGTAACTTAATATATTTACTCATTGCTGCCAATGTAACAAGAAGAATCAGTTAAACGCCTGTGTCCAGCCAATAGCACCAATTAATGCACTTGTAGCTACTGAATTCCAGCCAAGATAAATATAATTCAGTCTAGTGCTTCAGGAAATGAGTTGATTATCAAGGGAATCAGAATGGAAAAACATTTATGTATAATTTTAAAAAGACCTTAACTCTTTGGATTAAATGACCTTTTTGCCCACCATACATATTAAAAGTTAATATGAGAAACAAAACGAAAACTTTGGATGGTCTCCACATATACTTATTTGATTTCATGAGTTCATTTTCTGCAATGACTCTATCATTCATTTTTCCTCCTTTAGACTGGAATGTACCGGGAAAAGAAATGAACTAGTAGTTAAAAGATTTAAGTTTTAGCTCTGGCTCCATCATATAATGGCAATGATGATCTTAGCCAAATTTGAACTGCTCAAGGGAGGGGTCCTTTATATTCTTTTAAATATTCCCAACCCCTAGCACATGTTAGATCTCAGACACAATTTGTTGAATTAAAAATATCACTGAGTTTTCTCATTTGTTTAAAAAGAAAAGAGAGGGGCGCCTGGGTGGCTTAGTCGGTTGAGCGTCCGACTTTCGCTTAGGTCATGATCTCGCGGTTCGTGGGTTCGAGCCCCGCGTCGGGCTCTGTGCTGACTGCCAGCTCAGAGCCTGGAGGCTGTTTCAGAGTCTGTGTCTCCCTCTCTCTCTGACCCTCCCCTGCTCACGCTGTCTCTCTCTCTGTCTCCTAGAAATAAATAAAAATATTAAAAAAAAAAAAATTTAAAAAGAAAAGAGAATATGATCTCTTACCCTAATGCTAGCACAGATTAGTAAACATATCTTCATTTTAGATTTTTTTGTGTAGTGACTATTTATGACAGAACTGATTGCTAAGATTTTTAAGTGAGCAGGTATTGATCTAATAATTTTTCATTTTATTTAGATATAATGCAAATAAGTTTTTTTGACTGTGTATCTCTAAAGAGGTATGAGTCTTTAATAATAACCAACAACTTCGCAAGCTTAAAAGATTGTACTTTGGTATTATCTGGAATTGTTTTCTAAATTACAAAATTGAATATGCAAGGGATAAATAGAGTCTGGGTCCACTTACTCCAAGACTGCTAGGTCACGCCAGAGAAGAGAGAATCTTTGGTCAAGGGAAGTGGCCAGATAACTTGTGTAAGAAGATAGAAGTCAAATACAGAAGAGTCTTGGTCTTTTGTATATATTAGAGAGTTTGCATAATTGTTTTCAAAAAAAAAAAAATGTGGGGCTTTATTTTTATGAAAGATCTGAAGTCACTATTTTGTTAAAATACTTCCTGAAAATATACTTTTGTTGTCTTTAGTATTTGTACCATTTCATAAAATTGGTTTCTTTTAATATTTAAGAAGTTAAGTTAAACTGACAGAGGACAGAGACTATTTTTGAAGTTATTATAAATCTTTTCAATGTTTTGCTTTTATTAATATATTACAGGTGAATTTAAAAGCAACACTTTTATTTTTTAAAAATACTGTGAATTTAAACAAATATCATTAATTATCAGGTGTGGCAATGTGGTGGGCAGTTGGAGATTATGCCTTGCTCTGTTGTTGGACATGTCTTTCGCAGCAAAAGCCCTCATACCTTTCCAAAAGGCACTCAGGTGATTGCGCGCAACCAAGTTCGCCTTGCAGAAGTCTGGATGGATGAATATAAGGAAATATTTTATAGGAGAAACACAGATGCAGCAAAAATTGTTAAACAAGTAAGTTAGAGCTAAACCATTAAATCACAATAAAAATCCACATCAAATTCACATATTCTTTGACTTATTTGTGTCAGTTCAAGTGCAAAACTTTTTTAAAAGTTAAATTTGAAATTGAGGGGAGTTTTTTTGTTTTTTGCTTTTTTGTTTTTATCTCAGAATATATAACTTATTGAAGCACTTAGGTGGGTCAGTGGTTGAGTGTCTGACTCTTGATTTCGGCTCAAGTCATGATCCCAGGGTCGTGGGATCGAGTCCCATGTTAGTCAGGCCCTGTGCTGAATGTGGAGCCTGCTTAAGATTCTCTCTCTCCTTCTGCCTTGTGTGCACATGCTCTCGCTCTCTAAACACACACACACACACACACACACACACACACACAAACTTATTGATGCCAGTGTTTTGTTTTGTTTTGTTTTTTAAGGAAAAATCAAGTAAAATGCCTTTCTAAAAATTTAGGCATTGCGCTTGATGGAAGATACTTAGTTTTTATAAATCCTTAGGTTCTGTATTTTACCCAAAGAAAGTAAGATTAAATGGAACCACTTTTAACTGGTTTTAGGTGATGCAATTAACACCTAAATAAAGGTGCTAAATGGCTTTGAACTGAAGATGGAGGCAATATCAGAGTGTGACAGGAAAATAAACCAGAAGTATCAAGGCTTTTTTATTTCAAGTTCTCGTTCCACTGCTCACTGGCGGGGTTACCTTGGCAAAGCCCCTCTGAATCTGTAAAATGGAATGACACTTCATAAGGTGGTTGAGAGTTGGCCCAACATGAGTTGTGTGCTCAGCAAAGCTTCTCTCTGCTTCCCTGTCTTGAGAGGTGAAATACTTGCTTGTCTCCCAGAATAGCTATGAAATAAAGTAGTAAGTGCTCAGAAATGTATGGCACTATTGTTACTGACCTGTCATAGTAAAAGCTGTGCAGAATTGTAATGCCTAATACATTAGAAGTAAGCTCCAATAGATTCAGTATTGGGTATGGTACATGAACTCGACATTTTAGGAACATGCTTCAGTGAATGGCACCCAACCCTTTGTAAGAAACTGTGCTGATTTGCAGAGAGTATATATTGAGATTAATGGGCATCAACATTTTGACTATCATAAAGAAAGGTCTGGTTACCTCTTTCCAGCTTTTCTGTGGCCTCTAGTATCTTCCTGTAACATGTCAGCGGGGTGCAAAGTCAGAACACTACTAGGTTAGATCGCTATCTTTTTATTTAAGGCCACCAGGACAAATTGGGCAGATTGTGTACTTGGCTAAGCAGGCAAGTGGGTGCTAACTGCTGCTTAGGCTCCCTTGTCTGCCACAAAAGAGCACGTGAGCCAGTAAACCCCTATTTTTACCACAGGGCAAACATATCTTGTGATAAAATGCATAAGCTAGTCAGAAGTCCTTTAGAGTTTATATATTTTGCTAAAACCCCTGGTCAAGACATTAAAGTTGGCAGAGAAAATACTTTCCTTAACTGAAATGATAAGCTTGAGTATTTAAGCTTCCTATATATTTAGGTACCAAATATAATTTTTCTTTAAAATTTTACCTATAGACCAAATACCTTTATCAGTTTAATAGTGTTCTTTAAATTTTTTTTTTAGTCCTTTTAAGATAAAGGAAAATAAAATGCAATTATTAAAAACTTACCTTTTTCTACTAATACATTATTATGGTTAAAATTTTGTTAGGAGTAAGTAACACGCTTAAAACTAGAGAAAAAAAAAATCATTCCCAACTGTGTTGTCTTTTGTAGTCTTGACTAGAGAAGAGGTATGAATTACATTGTATGGCAACTGTTTCTTTATACCTGCCTCCTCACACCCCAGTTTACAGATCATTTTTGGGTATAAAATTAGGATCCATTTTGGATGCTCCCACGACCATTTCTTGGCCCACAGTATTTCTCTAGAGATCTTTGGCCCTTGGAGGATGTCTGACAGCACAAAGAAAGAATAAAATAGCTTCATGTCAGCGCCACAGTGGTCACGTGATTCTCCTCGAAGGCAGAAACAAGCAGGCAGGCATACTTGTTGCCTGAATAACTGGTGGGTGCGGTTAAATGGCATCTTGCGTTTTGGCCCAGAAGTTTTTCTTTAAGACCCAAATAAAAATACAAATAGTATCATTTGAACTACTTTGTCAGTGCTGTTTTCATTAAGCATTCTTTTTGCTGCTTCTCTTTTCTCCAGAAATCATTTGGTGATCTTTCAAAAAGATTTGAAATAAAGCACCGCCTTCAATGTAAAAATTTTACATGGTATCTGAACACTGTTTATCCAGAAGCATATGTGCCAGACCTTAATCCTGTTATATCTGGATATGTGAGTATTTTCCTGCTCCTTTTTACTTGGTTTATGCCTTGCCACAAACATTTATGTGGTTCAGTGAAAATTGCTGAAATGCTTCCCGGTTCATTGCTTTTGAGATTTTACATTACTATTTATTAATACTACTTCCTGGAATTAATTGAAAAAATATATAAACCACATAAGTTTTGAAAACATTCTTATAACTTGAAAATTTCCCTTTAGATTAAAAGCATTGGTCAGCCTTTATGTCTGGATGTTGGAGAAAATAATCAAGGAGGCAAACCATTAATTTTGTATACGTGTCATGGACTCGGGGGAAACCAGGTGAGCACTGCCTACAAATCATCCCTCGTCCTTAGCACTTACAAACAAAGTAAGTTGTCAGAAGTCCCAAATCAGCTTTATATTTTGGTAATTTGGTATTTAAAATGTTTTTAGATTAATGATGTTTGGCAATTAATATTAAAGTTGCGGAATACTTTGTTTTGACTTTCATTCTGACTCTGGAAACAATTTGAAGTTGCCTACCCATTCAGTAGAAAGGCAAATGAGAAAATAATAGAGTCATGCCATTTGAAATTAAAAAAACAGGGTCTTGTATGTGGCTCTTTGATGTTTTGGGACTATTGGCAAGGTGATTTTGCAAAGTTATACATAAAGGCTATATTTAACTGCATTTGATAGCAAATTATATTAAGTGTTAATGCCAGAAGAGCAGTATTATAAGTTATTGTTGTGGGTCATGATATTATTTCAGTGTGTTCTTTAAAAAAGGCATGTTCTTGATTATCCTTGACTCATGATATATCTGCTTGTTACCACTCTTTGACTGTGTTAGCAATTAAGACTCAAATGTCAAATGTCACTATTGGGCCTACCATGGGTAGAGAACTTTTTAACATACAATTTTAGCATTTAGCTTCTTTGTCTTGCCTTTTACAAGTTAACTCCTGGAAGGATTGAACTCTTCTCATTTGTTCATTCAACAAATTCACTGAGTGTCCCCTCCATGCCAAGTATTCTGCTGGGTCCAAGCAATTTAGATTCTATCTTCTTCAGGAAATCTCTACTTCAAAACCAGTGTTTACTATCAGCATGGTAAAGTCTAGGATAAAGCATTCAGAGTGCTTCCAGAGTATGGAGGAGGGCATCTCAATGAATTAGACTGGGTGCCCATACACTTTCCTTGGAAAGATGACATTTGGAAACACTTTTTGAAAGGTACATAGGAGTTAGTGAGATGGCTGCTGGGAATGAGAACAGGATGAGAAGAATGTAAAGGGGGGTACTAAGGAGAGGAGCTGGTCTGCCTGTCTTCTGTCAGTTGCAGGCATTTGGGTATAGAGTTCAAGATGTGTGTGGAAGATTTTCATAATATTAAATACTCGTGGTGTCCTATTTTAAGAGGATGGAACTTTGGTGATGTCAGTTTTAAGAAAGTGTCAGTTTATCTCCAGGTCCATCCTCTTCCATGTTTCTTCCTACTCATTAGCCTCAGCTTACTCTAGTTCCAATCCCTCTTCATCCAAACCAACTAATCCACTGAGGGTAGGGAACACAGAAGCCTAGAAGCTATAGCTAGTGATTGAGGTGTAATTATGGAATGTGATGGAGACACACACACACACACAGAGATATACACATGCATCTATACCTATATACATATATATCTACATATGTGCATATATGTACATATATATATATATATATACACACGTTTTAAAATAACATTGACTTTTATATATTAGAAGAAAAATAAATAATTGCATCCTTTTGGAAATAATACCGGACCATGCTAGTTAAAATTAAGTTTTTGGACAATGAGAAGTATTTAGTCATTTGTAAAAAGCATATCACTAAATGTAAATACTTACAAATTTTCCTCAGTCTCCTCTATCATTATGCTTATTTTATCCCAAAAATTGAAAATATCTTATACATTGTTTTATCTGTTTTTGTCTTGTCGTTGCCATAAAGATGTTTTTATAGTTTTTTCTCTAAAATAGCTTATAAATTATAAATACAGTATAGCTGTCTTTTAAAAATTTGGGGATAGAGGGGTTCCTGGGTGGCCCAGTTGGTTAAGTATCTGACTCTTGGTTTCGGCTCAGGCCAAGATCTCACAGTTTCCCAAGTTGAGCCTCGCACTGACCTCTGCGCTGGCAGCACAGAGCCCACTCGGGTTTCTCTCTGCCCCTTCACCACTCACAGTGTCTCCGTCTCTCAAAATAAATAAACTTTAAAAAAAATAAAAAAGAAATTAAAAAATAAAAATTTGGGGATGGAGAATCAGTTCACATATTCTTTCAATAAATATTTGTTTAGAGCCTACAATGTAACTTGCACTGTTGTAGTATTGAAAAAGGCAAAATCCTACTTGTGGAGCTTGTGTTCTTGAAGGAGGAGAAAAAAACATGTAATTTGGGGCATCAAGAAAAATGACATGAGGTAGGTGAGTGATTTGAATGTGGGGAGCAGGGGTGGGGAGGGGTTTGTTTTCAGAGGTGCAGGAAGACCTCTTTGAAAAGGTGACCTTGGAGCAGAGGCCTAAGGGATTGGAGAGGAACCATGTTCCAGGAAGGGAGCGTCCTGGCAGAAGGGGCACAGGCTGGAAGCTAGTGGCAGGTAAATGGAGCAGTCAGAAAGTCAGTGTGGCTGCAGCAGAGGGGTCCAGGAAGACAGGGTAGGAAAGGAGGGCAGAGACATCGATAAGGGGCCTGGTCATCGAAGTCTTTGCAGGCCTCCCCTCAGAACTTGGATTTAGTTCTGAGTATGACAGAAGCCATCTCAGGGTTTTGAGCAGGAAAATAATATTTCCTGGTTTAAAATTTTTTTAATGTTTATTTGTGTGTGTCTGTGTCTGTGAGAGAGAGAGACAGAGAGAGAGAGAAAACACAAGTCGGGGAGGGGCAGGGAGAGAGGGGGACAGAGGATCCAACCTGGCTCTGTGCTGACAGCAGCGAGCCCCACGTGAGGTTCGAACTCACGAACTGTGAGATCATGACCTGAGCTAAAGTTGGACACTCAACTGACTGAGCCACCCAGGCGTGGCTCCTGATTTAAATTTTAAGAAGATGACTCTGGTTTCTAGCACTGTAACACAGTGGTCGATTTTATTTTGGTTTATTTCCTTTATATTTTATTTTCAGTCATGCATTGCATTTAAATTACATTGCAAATTTTAGTCATTGCAGACATTGCTACGTGTTTTTGAGCTGTCATCCAATTTGATCATTTCTTCTACTGCTTTGACCAGATAATGACAATTTTATAACATTAAAACTCCATTATAACTGTATTTATATAAGTCGAGTAAAAATAAGTAGTTTGATAATGTTACTGTATTGACCAAATATACTGGTGCAATAATGCAGTATAAATCATTATGGCTTTGTAACACGGGATGCTTTGCTGCTTCTACTTTCTACTCCAGGGCATTTGTCCTGGTTCTCAATTAGGTCTCTCCAGTATTCCCAGCTAGCTAATTACACATTCTTTTCATTGTTTAAGTATCTTCAACTGTTTCCTGTTCCTTATAACTTACCTTTTAATGATTAAAAACTATATAACATGGTTTACGTAAAGTAAGATACTGGACCAACTTTTCATACCATCTTTGAAATTCTAAGATTTCTCTTTTTTGGAGGAGGTTAGCCAGAGTACTATTTTCATGATCTATACTCATACTCTTTCAATGTCTCCATCTGAAGAACTATCAGTTATTAAAATGATGGATGTATTTGTGGAAGGAGCTAAATTAAGCACGAGGCCAAGACCAGGAGAACTCAGGATTAATTCAGCTAATGTTTGAGAAGTGCCTACTCTAATATACATAAAGGGTTTAGAACAGCCCCTGCTTAGCACATAATAAAGGCTCAATAAATATTAGTGCTAAGACTAATCATTTCATTATTGAAAATCCATTATGTTCATTTATTTTATCTTTGGAATGTCAACATTGTGAAATATTTGATTTGTAATAGACGTTATTACTAGATACACTGCCTGACTTTGGTCTACGGTGAAGCCAGCTAGCTACACACACAATTCCAATAGAGTGCAATAAAAGTTATTTCTGATATGTCATGGAAACCCTGAAAAAGGTGTAATTTTGTTTAGTAGGACAAGTTCAGGGAAACTAAAGAAGCAAAGTAACATTTGAATTGACTTTTTAAGGATAAAAAGGTATTAGCTAGGCAGAGAAGGATCCAGAAGGATATTTCAGGCACAGCACAGTAGTCTAAAGCAGTTTTAGAGATATGGATGCATATGCTCTGCATTGGGTAGAACTGTGTGGAAAAAGTATAACATACGGTTCAGGCAATGGTTGATAGAAGATTGAAGACAGAAGAATTCATGTACCAGTTAAGGAGTGTAGACTTCTCTTACCAACAATAGTGACTCACTCAAGTAAGGGAGGTAGGAGATTGAATCAGTGTTATGAGAGACCAACTGGCAGCAGAGGGATTTGGATTATAGAGGCTGAGACTGCAGGTAGCTAGAGGTATTACAGTAAAGATTCTGAGTGCCTGAATAAGAGAAGTGATGTACTGAGGAAAGTGGGATGGTGACATCTGAGAAGGAAATTCAGTAGAACTAAGAAGCTAGTTAAAGTGGACATTTAACTAGGGGAAAGAGAAACATCAATCCTAGTAATAATAGCTAAAATGAATTAAAAGCTTGCCATGTACCATTTATTGTTCTGAATGTTTTACATTTATTCTCCCATTATCCCTTTTATCCTCATAACACTGTAGGGTAGGAACTATTAAATAAGCCATTTTAGGGGTGGCTCAGTCAGCTAGGCATCTGACTCTTGATTTGGGCTCAGATGATGATCTCAGGATTGTGAGATTGAGCCTTGTGTCAGGCTCTGTGCTGAGTGTGGAGCTCTCTCTCTTCTCGCTCTCTCGCTCTCTCTCTCAGAAAAAAAAAAAAGAAAGTGGGGATGAGCACTGGGTATTATATGGAAACCAACCTGACAATAAACTATTTGTAAAAAAAAAAAACAAAAAAACACTACATTAAAAATAAAAAAAATAAAACATTAAAAAGAAAAAAGAAAAAGAAAAAATATATATAAATAAATAAATTACCCATTTTACAGGCAAGGAAACTGAGACATGAGAATTGTTCCTAGTGTAAATGAAAATACCATTAATTAAGAGATTAATTAATCTCTTAATGTATTAAGAGAAACGGAACACTTTGTGGAGAGGAAGAGGTATTTAATAGGCTTGCTAGAAGTTTCTAGATCCTTTTCCATGGCGTATCTGTCCCTGCTAGCCTCCACCACACATGATAACCTCTGATTTCTGAAATGAGAGGAAGATAATACCTTCTGAAGTAACTACCTATTGCTGATAGGCTGGAAAAGGGTTTAGCATCTTCTGTCATAAAATCTCAGCTTATGTTTCTAATGCCTACTTTTCTGGTATTTTGTTGAGTACACATGACTTCATTATTCAGTGATAATATTAATTATTATTGAACCATTTTTTGGCAACTGAGGATACAGGGTGATAAGTCAGTAATAGCATTCTTCTTTTCACAGTATTTTGAATACTCAGCTCAACATGAAATTCGCCATAACATCCAGAAGGAATTATGTCTTCATGCTGCTCAAGGTCTTGTTCAGCTGAGGGCATGTTCCTACAAAGGTCACAAGACAGTGGCCAGTGGAGAACAGATATGGGAGATCCAGAAGGTATGTAATTATTTTGATTAGCTCTAATTGCTTTTCTGGGAACATGCATGAAACATAGCATATTAATGTTATCCATCAGAATTTCTCTTTGTTAACTTTGTTATTGTCTGTGTCTACCAATGTGATAAGAGAGAATATATCTATGAATTAAATACTCTCAGAAACAAAATAATAGTAAAGTTGCTTAGTGAAAGCATGATTTATACAGATCAGCACTTTTGTGAATTATTAATTATAGTTGCCCATATCTTTTTTAGAGTTGCTTATAATGCTTCTGGCAACAACCACATTTTTTTATCCTGACAGGAAAAAAATCCCTATCTTTTTCTCAACTAAAGTTATTCATTCTTTTCTCCTGTTTTAGTCCTTTTTTTTATGAATTTAGAATTGAAAGATTACATAAAAGATCTTTTCTGTTTTTATGTTTTAAGGCTTAACTAAAACATAACAATTCTTACCTAAAAATTGTTTTGTGCCCTACCAGAACACCACAAGGCTGATTTTTATAGCATAATTTTTTAAGAGTTTGTCACTTATAGATTACCAATGGAGTGTTTCTCATTTGAAAACTTGATTCAGCCCTCACTCTGTTTAAAGCTTGTTATTTATCTAATACCTTCTGTGAATTGAACAGTAGTGGTAGAAAAGCCAAAATACTAATAAAAACCAACAAGATTTTATCAGATGTAGTTGATCTGAGGAAGATTAAAAGTTAAGAACAATGTACATTTGGTGCGTGAGCCTCCCTTTAGCTTCAATGAGACCATAATGTAGTTTCCATATTTATCACTTAGCTATGAGTCTTGAAACTTAATGTCTGTTGTGTTTCCTTTTATTCTAGGATCAGCTTCTATATAATCCATTCTTTAAAATGTGCCTTTCAGCAAATGGAGAGCATCCGAGCTTAGTGTCATGCAATCCGTCAGATCCACTTCAAAAATGGATTTTTAGCCAAAATGATTAAGTGTTCCTTAAAATTAAGGAGTTGAAAAAGGAGATATTCTTTCTGATAAAACTGTGACTAGGCATACACTGTAGTTGTTGAAAATTATGCAAAAGCAGCTAATTATAACTTATTCCAAGTGCATTTTTCTTATTTATATCTTAAAATGTCTATGTAACACTGCTACAGAAATCTTTTAAGTTTCCGTTTCAAAGCACAATAACTAAGAATACCAAAGACTATTTTGAAATGTCCAGATTTAGGGGAAGAGATGTTTACAGTATGATGAAAATAATTTTCCAAGTAAAGTGATATTTGTGTATTTTGTGCACTTAAAGATACGCATAGCTACATTCACACACTCACAATTTAAAATATTTCTTCTAGTTTTTTGGGGGGAGGGAGAAAGATTTGATACTGTATTTTTTTAACTACATAGAAATGGATCAATGAAGGTCAAGCTTTGGCCTTTGTGTTCCAACCAGGAAATTTTTTATAAATCTAGAATTTATTATATAAAAATGCAGGTAAACTTTTTTTGCCTTTTGTTTACTTATCTGTCAACATGAAATTAATAAGGAGAATATTTTTAATGCTGCAATATCTTGGCAAATTTTAAAATATTTTTTAGTCTGAAGCCCACTTGACTTGAAGCACTTAAATCTTGCTTAAAAGATATTTCTTAAGTAACTATACTGTGTGTTTTCCTAGAGCAACTTTTAAAAAACTATAAATTACTATCTGTTGAAAACGTGTCTTTTTCCTTTCTGCTACTCTTTTTTCTTACCAAAAGTCACTAATCTTGGATGTTTGTGAAATTGAATTCCAAATGCAGAATACCTGATTCATTTCAAAGCTAAATTTTATTTGGTACTGATTCAATTATAGATTGTAAAGATTTTTCCTCACAAAAAAAACCTTCTATTTGGAAAACACAATAAAATGAATCCTTATCACTGTTGTAATTATTTGATTTTAATTTCTTTCTTCTTTTGGATAAAATATATAACTCATATTGGATGGGGGAGGACATTTCTAAATAGTTATTGTAGAGCCATCAGATATTTTTAAGGAATAATCAAGTATTTTATGGTAATGGCATACAAAATGGGAAATGGAGAAGATTCTATGTTAGGTATTTTGAACATTTTGCACTAATTTCTGGTAACTTTCCTACAGCACCTAATAGAGTAATATTTTTTTAAATGTGATGCCTGCTTAGGAAGTTTAATACCTTGTTTCCTTTTGGTCATTTTATATAGAGATCTCCTATGTTCTTATTTAAGAAGTAAAGTATGATTGGCTTCCTATTTTAAACCTTGCTGAGCCACAATTGTACAAAAGAAAATATTTTTAAATTATTGGTCCCATCACCTCATTGTTTGTAACTTTGAAGTTACGTTAAAAGACCTGCATCCTTTAATGTATTACAATGGCAACTTTTATTTCAATTCAGCTAACATTTTTCGTGTGTCTTACCAAAGTTTTGGTAGGCAGAATGAGTCTTATGTTGCCTTTGAGCTTAGATCTTATGGAACAGAAAGACAGATAATTTTGAAATAGCATTGTGAGTGACATGATTTATATTTCGTGATGTGATGGCTTGCTATTCATACCTGATATTTCTTTAATAAGTAAAGGTATTTTTATTACTATAGCTAAATACTAATGTGTTATGAAATATACACTGATGCCCACTTACATACACAATTTCTCTTTCTCAGTTTGTTATCCTGGAGTAAACATCCAGGAGCAAATACTGCTCTTTGTTATATCTCAAAGAACAAATCTGAAATTTAAAAAAAAATCTGCCTTGTGTGTATTAGTCATGTGTTCTCATGTCAAGACTCACCCAAAATCTATTTAGTTGATTTTATTATGGCTGTATTAAATGCATCAAAGGGAGAGTCCTTCTTACCAAATTTGGGAGCCTCAGACTGTTGTTCAAGTGTCACTTAACTGATTTCATTAGGGATTTACCCTTCAAGATAGAGGTAGTTGCTTTTAAAAGTCTGAGTTTTGAAACAGTGGTAGCAGGCATTTATTTATGGAGTCTACCTGAGAGATTTGAGTACACAAAAGTGTGAAACTGTGAAGCTCTTGCTCAGTTTCAAGTGACCATGACAAATGGTATAGTTGCTTTACAGGACCTGGTATGTTGCCTTCATTGGAGAGGACCAAGCCCCAAGAACTCTACACTGCTGGAGTTAACCTGATGATGGGTGGGCTGACTTAAAACTGGATGGACTAGCCACAAGAGAAAATAAACAATATACTAAAATTGCCTATTACTACAATCAATAATGATGAATTTTTAAGACCCTATATTCCCAGACAATTGGCCTTACTGTTGATAGACAGTCTAATTATAAGTACTATGTACACCATCAAAATATAAGTGCAAAAATATAGGGAACTACTATTTCTAAGAAAACAGGGTTGAATGCTTTAGGAAAACTAATAAAAAAATCAAATTATTTAAAGAATGCTGCTACATTATGTGTGGATGAGAACTATAAGAGAGAGAGAAAACAAAAATCTCAGAAGAGTCTGTACTCAAATTGCTTCCAATTTACTTTTTAAAAGGCAAAACAAAATATCTTGAAATGATGCATTTTTAGTGTGGTTTGTGCAGGAAAGAAGTTGCATCATTCTCATTAACCAGTTCATACTCAAATAAAAGGCCTTGGCCTTACAGTGGAATGTTTGTGAAGAAACTAATATACATACAAATGTAGGAATGAATATGTGTGTTTTAAGTTAAAAATATTTAAGACATATCTTTTTTATGGTCTTCTATTTTAACTACATCTTTCAAATTATCAGTTAATTATTAGTCCAACTACATTGGAGAGGAGTTTTTTTTTTTTCCTGCACACATATGTAGACACTATTGCTCTCTAATATTCAACAATATTTAGAAAATATTATTTGTGTTTTTGTGATTATAGTAGGCACCAGGGACTAATGATACACAAAATGGTCCCTATCTTCAAGAAGTTTACAGGCTAGAAATGAACTATTGTACCAATGATATTTTGGAGAGAAACTTCGATAGGGATTGCATTGAGTATATGGATTGCTTTTGGTAGTATCAACATGTTAACAATATTCTTCCAATCCATGAGCATGGAATGTTTTTCCATTTTTTGGTGTGTGTGTATCTTCTTCAATTTCTTTCATAAGTTTTCTATAGTTTTCAGTGTATAGATTTTTCACCTCTTTGGTTAGCTTTTTCCTAGGTATTTTATGGTTTTTGCTACAATTGTAAATGGGATCGATTCCTTGATTTCTCTGTCTGCTACTTCACTAGTGGTATAGAGAAATGCGGCCAATTTCTGTACATTGATTTTGTATGCTGTGACTTTGCTGAATTCATGTATCAGTTCTAGTAGTTTTTTGGTGGAGTCTTTTGGGTTTTCTACATAGAGTATCATGTCACACGTGAAGAGTGAAGGCTTGACTTCCTCCTTGACGATTTGGATGCCTTTTATTTCTTTGTGTTATCTGATTGCTAAGGCCTGGACTTCCAACACTATGTTAAATAACATTGGTGAGAATGGGCATCCCTATCGTGTTCCTGACCTTAAGGGGAAAGGTCTCAGTTTTTCCCCATTGAGGATGATATTAGCTGTGGGTCTTTCATATATGACCTTTATGATCTTGAGGTATGTTCCTTCTTTCCCTACTTTCTTGAGGGTTTTTATCAAGAAAAGATGCTGTATTTTGTCAAATGCTTTTTCTGCATCTATTGAGAGGATGGTGTGGTTCTTATCTTTTCTTTTATTAATGTATCACATTGATTGATTTGCAGATATTGAACCAGCCCTGTATCCCAGGAATAAAGCCCACTTGATCATGATGAATAAGTCTTTTAATGTATTGTTGGATCTAGTTTGCTAGTATTTTGTTGAAAAATTTTCATCCATGTTCATCAGCGAAATTGGTCTGTAGTTTTCCTCTTGAGTTGGGTCTTTGTCTGGTTTTGGAATCAAGGTAATACTGGCCTCGTAGAATGAGTTTGGAAGTTTTCCTTCCATTTCTATTATTTGGAACAACTTCAAAAGAATAGGTGTTAGCTCTTCTTTAAATGTTGGGTAGAATTCCCCCGGAAAGCCATGCAGCCCTAGACTCTTGTTTGTTGGGAGATTTTTGATTACTGTTTGATGTCTTTACTGGTTATGGGTCTTTTCAAATTTTCTATCTCTTCCTGTTTCAGTTTTGGTATTTTATGTGTTTCTAGGAATTTGTCCATTTCTTCCAGGTTGCCAAATTTGTTGGCATATAATTGCTCATAACATTCTCTTAGTATTGTTTGTATTTCTGCTGTGTTGGTTGTGATCCCTCTTCTTTCATTCTTGATTTTATTTATTTGGGTCTTTTCCTTTTTCTTTTTGATCCATCTGGCTAGGAGTTTAACAGCTTTGTTAATTCTTTCAAAGAACCAGCTCCTGGTTTCATTGATCTATTCTGTTTTTTTGACTTTGATATCATTGATTTCTGCTCTAATCTTTATTATTTCCCCTCTTCTGCTGGTTTTGGGCTTTATTTGCTGTTCTTTTTCCAGCTCTTTTAGCTGTAAGGTTAGTTTGTATATTTGAGACCTTTCTTCCTTCTTTAGGAAGGCCTGGATTGCTATATATTTCCCTCTTATATAGCATCCTTTGCTGCATCCCAGAGGTTTTGGGCTGTCATGTTTTCATTTTCGTTGGCTTCCATGTACTTTTTAGTTTCTCAGTTAACCCATTCATTCTTTAGTAGGATGTTCTTTAATCTGCAAGTATTCATATTTCCAAATTTTTTCTTGTGATTGATTTTGAGTTTCATAGCATTGTGGACTGAAAATATGCAAGGAATGGTCTCCATCATTTTGTACTTGTTTAGGGCTGATTTGTGTACCCATATGTGATCTATTCTGGAGAATGTTCCATGTGCTCTTGAGAAGAATGTGTGTTCTGCTGCTTTAGGATGAAATGTTCTGAATAATCTGTTAAATCCATCCAATCCAGTGTGTCATTCAAAGCCATTGTTTCCTTGTTGATTTTCTGCTTACATGATCTGTTCATTGCTATAAGTGGGTGTTGAGGTCCCCTACTATTATGATATTATTATCAATGAGTTTCTTTGTGTTTGAGATCATTGATTTATATATTTGGGCTCTCCCACATTGGGAGAATAAATATTTACAATTATTAGAATTTCTTGGTCGGTAGACCCCTTAATTATGAAACAACACCCTTCTTCATCTCTTATTAACAGTCTGTATTTTAAAATCTAGTTTGTCTGATGTATGGCTACTCCAGCTTTCTTTTGATGACCATTGACCTGATAGATGGTTCTCCATCCCCTTACTTTCAATCTGCAGGTGTCTTTAGATCTAAAATGGGTCTCTTGTAAGCAGCATATACATGGGTGTTGTTTTCTTATTCATCTGATACCTTATGTCTTTTGAGGCTGTATGGCCTCTACCAAATGCAGTCCACACAGGGGAACAGCTTCTTCCCGTGTGCCACAAGGGTCCTTCACACCCCACTGCCCCTGGGAATTTGCCCTACTTCCTCACCAGAGCACTGCCAGGCACTGAGCTCCAAAACTCCAGACTCTGCTCTCCACTATTTATAGAGTCATGCTGGCATTGAAACTCTTTCCTATCTCCCCATCAGTGGTTTTGGGGAACAGATTAATTTTTCAGTCCCCTATGGGTATTTTCACTCTTTCCCAGCTACTTTTGGGGGTGAGTGTTTTTCTTGCACATTCCCGATATGCTGCACTCTCCCCCTTTCTCTCTCTGTTCTCTGTGAAAGCAGCTCCCTTCCCTCTGTGGCTTTTTTCTCCCCCAGTTTTATAGTTCACCTTTCTACATTGCATACCTGCCAAGTTCTGTGGCTCAAGTTATACAGATGTTGTGTTAATACTCAGATCAATTTCCTAGGTGTTCAAAATGGTTTGGTGGTGA